ATGTGCTGCTTTTACGTGACTATGTCTTTTTTTTTTTTTTTTTTTTTTTTTTTTTTTTCTCCTCCCTGCTTTGCAGGGAGAAGAAGCAGGCAGATTGCTGTTCCCTGTAAACAGGTCTATGTTTTTGCACACACAGAACTCTGTGTAATTGGACACAGCCGATTGGCTGACTTTATCCAAAATCATTGGCTGAAATTAGGTGACAAACATAGGTTGTGTCCAGTCAGCACAGGTTGGCAGGGGACCTGCGCATGCTTCTGTGAGCGGGCGGCAATTGGTTACACCCTTTCCTGCCTCCCCCTCCTCCTATTCTACACACATTTATGATGCAGTCTCCATGTGACCTGTATATGAAACAATTCACCTCCATCCTACCCTTGTATGCAACCAGGACAATAACCCATTCACTTCCTCATTCCTCTGTGTATGACCTGTATGTTAACATATCTAGTGCGCCATTCTCATGTTCCATGTTTAACCCCCTCAGTACTGCTATGATTCTTAATTTCCAAAAAATTGTGGCAAAAATATGACATCATCTTGGGGTGTCTACTTTCCAAAAATGGTTATTTTAAGGTATTTTTGTACTAGTCTGGCATTTTCTTTTACCATAAAGATTTTTGGTGGAAAAAAAAACCCAGTGGTTAAGTATTACCAAAAGGAAGCTCTCTGGGGGAAAAAATGGTATAAAACTCATTTGGCTACAGCGTTGCATGGCAGAGTAATTCTCAGTCAAACTATCAGTGCAAAAAACTGAAATGACCTGGTAATGAATGGGTATTGCAGGCTGGCACTCAAGTGGTTAAAGTGCATATAAACCCAGATACTTGTGTAAATGGCTCCCTTTTTTCTTTCTTTGTAAATGCAGTTGTGCAAGTTGTGTGCGGTTTTTGTGTGAGTGAATGTTTAAAGCTGAACTTCACTGCCTCTGAGCTCCATAAAGTAGAAATGCTATTTATATTATTCAAAACAAACACCCCCATCCATGTCTCAATGCTTTTTGTTGGGAAATAACTTTGAAAAAAAAAAACCCACCATAACATTTCTGGCCATGGCAATCTTGAGTAAGTGCAGATGATATAATATAGTGTTTACTTTCTGGGATCCATCTGCTCTTGGCTCAGGCATACAGATAGAAGGGTGTGTTTACTTGAGAACCCCCCATCCTCCCTCCTCAAGACTCCTGGGATGTATGACATAATTTGCCTAGACCTGAAAAAAAAAGTAGTAACTAAAGGAATGTAAACAAAATTAAAAACCAGCAAATTATATACTTTCCTATCTATTTACTAATGCTATCAGCATAAGGATTCAAACTGGTCAATGTTGACTGAGAGAGAGTGGAGTTCCAATTTAATAAGTACCTGTTGATCCTGCCAGTTCCTACCCTCTTCGGTGCCCTTTTTTGTAAGATGACCCCAGCTCCCAGTTCTACAGGATGGTGGTCACTCTGTGCTTTTATCCAGTGCATCTCAATCGATGCCCTCTGCTGGTTAATTTACAGCTGCCCTGATCAGCAGCTGAGACAGGGACTTACTGTAAATGTATCTGTCCCTTTTTGCTGGACAGCTTGGCCTATGATTTTTCATAATGGCTGTACTGGCATGACTAACAGGTAATAAAACAGTTGCAAGGGGGGAAATGCATGAAAACTGATTTGTAGATGCTAGTGTCTTCATCCTGTGTGCCATTTTGCCTGTATTTACTTTAATTTGAACACTTAAAGGTTTGCTTTTAAGGGTGAACCTTAATATTAAAGGCTAGGTAAACCTTTACCAGAACATAGCCTGTGCAGTTAAGGGTTCCCAGTAGGTATTAAAAAAAAAAAAAAAAAAAAAAAAAAAAAAAAATCAGCATTTTTGGAAAAATTTTAATAATTCAGTCTTACCTGTAGGTGACTTGAGACCAGCCTTGAAGCCTGGCCTAAACAACTCCAGTTAGAAAATCTCATGTCCTGACTTTTTGCTTGCTCAATGGTTTTCACTTCTCTAATGTTGAGAGTGAGCGTCCAAGCAACAAGGCAGGATATGGAGATTGCTAAACTCAAAGTTTTTCAGCCAGGCTTCCTGTGCGGCTCAACTGAACATTTTACAAAGCTGCACAGTTTAATAATCTACTGGAGTCCCTTAACTGCAAAGGCTGTTTTCCAGATAAGGTAAGCTTTGCCATTTAAACATCTTGCCCAAGAGGAGACACCACAAGACTCCTGATATTACCTTTTTATAGCAAACAAAAAAAAATTATAATAAAGCGCTATACAGCATCAAATGCATCAGCAGTTTCGCTTTCCTGCTGCATAGCTGTGATTCATGTAACAATTATACTTTCAATAAAGAAGTTTGCTTTTACTGTGTGGCAAATTTATCCAATTTTGTACCTGGCCAAAAAAAATCTTCTTTGATTTAGTTTAAGACCTCAATCACATTGGTGCCGTGGCCTATACAGCTTGGACTGGATGTGTGTTTGTGGGTGAGACCACTAGGTGCTGGGTGAATGCTGGCCATGTAACTCTATGGGGACGCTGCGGCTGTACAGACACAGCCTAACTTGACAGATGTGCAGGGACTGATTCTCGTTTATATGGGCCACAGCGCCCATGTGTAGGGGGCCTCATTTTGTTACTGGGTTCTGACTTATCAAGGCTTGATGGATAATCTCCTCTAACTGCCATTCACCTGTCTATTCAGAGTGACCTTACTGGCTACTGAGGCAGTTAGCAGGGCTTGGACATGAAGCCAGAGGAATTCAGGCCCAGAAACAAAGTGAAACCAAATCTGTGAGGGTATCAGCAGAAGCGTTTTTTTTTTTTTTTTTTTTTTTTTTTTTTTTTTTTTAGGCAATAAATTCAACAGCAGGCTTCTTGCAAGAATTTAGACCTAAACTTTGAATTAGAGTTTAGTCTAAAGAACTTCACTAAGCACAATTTTCACATGTACAAACCCTGATTCAATACCTTATGTGAAATACAGTTTATGGTGACGCCTTTCCTCAAGGCACCTGTAGAAGAATGTATAAAAACTTCAGCACAGCATGACTATTGATGGTGGGGACAAGCACAAATGTATCTTACAACCCACTGACTAGTGTAGATGTGCATTGGTAAACACTTCCTTTTGTACTCAAACAAGTGTTTAAATGCAAAGCACAACAATGGCTACATTTGACCTACTTTTCCTGCATTGCAAGCATGTCTCAATAGGCCTTGGTCTGTCCAATGCAAATCTGAACAATCTCAGCCTCAGAATGGCCATGTACACTACACCATTGAAGTAAATTGAAAGGCTTGCTTGTGACTTGTGCTTCAAAAGCAAGAAAACAATGCCTGTATGTACTGCATACATTGGGGAAAATAATTATTTGATCCCCTGTAGATTTTGTAAATTTGCCCACTTCCAAAGAAATTTAAGAGCCTATAATTTTTATCATAGGTATATTTTAAATGATAGAGACAGAATATCAACCAAAAAAACACGATACAAATGTTATATATTGAGTTGCAGTTCGGTGAGTAAAATAAGTATTTGATCCCCAAGCAAAAATTTACTTTAGTACTAGATGGAGAAACCCTTGTTGGCAAGCACAGTGGTAAGATGTTTCTTGTAGTTTAGTTACCAGGTTCACACTCTCAGGAGGGATTTTGGTCTGCTCTTCTTTACATATCTTTTCTAAATCCTTAAGGTTTCTTTGCTGTTGCTTGGCATCTTGGACGTTTCGGCTCCCTCCATAAATTCTCTCTAGGATTAAGGTCTGGAGACTGGCTAGGCCACTCCATGGCCTTATTGTGCTTCTTCCTGAGACACTCCTTTGTTGCCTTGGTGGTATGTTTTAGGTCATTGTCATGCTGGAAGACCCATCTTTTATTGTTCCGGCTGAGGGAAGAAGGTTCTTATCCAAGAATTTACAATACATGGCCCCGTCCATTGGCTTCTCAATGCGGCAAAGTCGACATGTACCTTTTAGCAGAGAAATGACCCCAAAAGTATAATGTTTCCACCTCCGTGCTTGACTGTAGGGATGGTGTTCTTGGGGTCATAGTCGGCATTTTTCTTCCTTCAAAGACGGCGAGTCAAGTTAATGCCAAAGAGCTCAATTTTGGTCTCTGACCACAGCACTTTCTCTTAATCCTTCTCTGAATCGTTTAGATGTTCATTGGAAAATTTCAGAGGGGCCTGTACATGTGCCTTCTTGAGGAAGGGGACCTTGCGTGTGCTGCAGGACTTCAATACATGGTGGTGTATTGTTACCAATGGTTTGTTTGGTGACTGTTTCACTCTTTGGCCCATGGTGGGTGGTGAGGGTTGAATGGAAGAAAGATTCTGTGGACAGGTGTCTTTCAAACACATGACAAGTTGTCCTTAGATTAGTCTGGTCATTTTAAGAAGATGCTCCTGTGTACCACATGAGCACATAGCCAGTCTGTGGGAGCCAGAATTGTTGGTAGGGGATCAAATACTTATTTTACTCACTGAACTTCAACTCCGTTTATAACATTTGTATTGTGGTTTTTTTTTTTTTTTTTTTTTGTTTTTTTTCTGGATTTGTGGTTGATATTCTGTCTCATTTTAAAATACACCTAAGATTAAAATTATAGACCCTTCATTTCTTTGTTAGTGGGCAAACCTACAAAATCTGCAGGGGATCAAAACATTTTTTTTCCCCACTGTACTGCAATGAACTTGTAGAACTTAAAAGCATTTGATATATTGGGCCAGTGCTCAATAACTTGTATTTCAGGTCTAGGTAAATGTTAGTGAATAGAATGTCTAATGGCTCTTGGGTACTCCAGCTATCAGATCTCTACATCTATGTTCCGTGCTCACCACTCTACAATGCTTGCCACCCCTGCTGGTCTTCTGCCTTTCTTATGAAGCTAGCAGGTGATCAGCTCATCAGTTTTCACCTCTTGCTGAAAAGCCAGTTTGAATGGAATGACACAAACAGATTTTACAGATCTGTCTGCTTGCTAATTTATAGTAATAGTCATTCTTTTGTTTCTACAGACCTGGACTTGTGCATGTTGTTTGAGCTTCATCCTACTTGTGGCCGACCATGTGATTGCTGAAGAGGTGGCCAACCATGGTGTTCAAGAGGTTAACACTACACATGTTACAGTCACAACAGGAAGACCTCTCACTACCAACTCTTCTAATACAACCCATGTACAGCTTTCATTTTTGAACAATTATAAAATGTTGCAGAGAGCATTCTACGTACTGATTGGAATCAGTGTCTTGGCTGTACTCTATTTTGTCACACGGACCTGTAGGTAAGAAAATGTGAACTAGGTCTCACTAATTTGTATGTTGACTTCAATCGTAGTGGTTACCGTGCACGATTATAATGCTTCGAGGTGTGCTCAAACTAGCACAAAACAGAAATGAGGTAAAAATGTAGCAAGTGTTTTGAGTGTTGCCTAATGTTAAAATAATTTATTGGTTTAGAAAAATGAACTGTGCAAGTTGTGCCAACACACTTACTCAACTGTACTACAAATATAAATTGTTCTAATGTAAAAGTAGAACTAAAGTGTGTGAAATATATATTATACAGGATTTATATAGTGCCAACAGTTTGCTCAGCGCTTTACAATATAATGGGAGACAATACAGTTCAATACAAGAGGGATAGGAGGGCCTGCTCCTTGGAGCTTACCATATAGGAGGGAGGGTCTAGTGGTACAAAAGGTAGTAACTGTGGGGGATGGACTGGTTGGAAGAGTAGAAGATTCCATTATTAGCTGAGGGCAGGCTAGGCTTCCCTGAAGAGAGGTTTTCAGAGATTGCCTAAAAGTGAGAAGAGTAGGCGATAGTCTGATAAATTGGGGTAGAGAGTTCCAGAGGATGGGGGAAGCCCTGGAGACGAGCATGGGAGGAGGAGACAAGGGAGCTAGAGAGTAGGAGGTCTTGCAAGGAGCCGAGAGTACGGTTTGGGTGATATTTAGAGACCAGATCGGTGATGTAATTTGGGGCAGAGTTATAAATGGCTTTATACGTTATTGTTAATGTTCTGAATTTTATCTGTTGGGCAATGGGAAGCCAGTGGAGGGATTGGCAGAGAGGGGTGGCTGATACAGAACAGTTAGTAAGGTGGATGAGTCTGGCAGCAGCATTCATGATAGAGTGAAGAGGGGATAGCCTGCGATGAGGTAGGCCAATGAGGAGGGAGTTACAATAGTCAAGGCGAGATATAACAAGGGAGTGAATAAGTTGCTTAGTGGTTTCCGAGGTTAGGAATGGGCGTATCTTGGAGATGTGGAGGTGAAGTCTACAAGATTTGGACAGTGAATGGATTTGGGACTGAAAGGACAGATGGGAGTCTAGGGTTACACCTAGCACCCTGGCATGAGGGGAGGGACTGATGATTGTGTTATTGATCTTGATGGAAAAGTCAGGGGAGGGGGCACAGGCTGGGGGGAATACGAAGAGTTCAGTTTTGGAAAGATTGAGTTTGAGGAAGTGGAGTGACATCCATGCTGATATGTCACTTAGTAGGTTAGTAATGCGAGAGGAGACTAAAAGGGTGAGGCCAAGGGTGGATTTTTTTGAGGAGGAGGGGCTGGTCAACCGTATCAAAAGCCGCAGAGAGGTCAAGAAGTAAGAGTACCGAGTAGTGGCCATTGGTTTTAACTGTCACTAGATCATTAGTGAGTTTTAGTAGGGCAGTTTCAGTGGAGTGTAGTGAGCGAAAGGTTGTCAGTGAGGTAGGAGCAAGCGTTCTAAGAGTTTAGAGGTAAATGGCAGCAGGGAGATAGGGTCTTAAGTTGTCCAGGTTGGTGGGGTCCAGGGAGGCTTTTTTTTTAAGTATGGAAGGGAAAGATTGAAGATGTGAATGAGGGAGCATAGGATGGAAGAAGAGGGTGACCGTAGTAGTTGTGGGGGGACAGGATCCAGGGGGCAGGTGGTGAGACTGGCTTCTGAGAACCTTTTAGTGACCTCTTCAGTAGTAGCAAGGTCAAAAGAGGAAAGTGTTGAGGGAGGTTTGGTATAAGGTATGTTAAGTGGGATGGATGTCTGTGCAGTGGCGATGCCCCTACGAACTGCGTCAGTCTTGTTTTTGAAATGATTTGCAATCTCATGAGCAGTGAGGTACTGGGTGGAGGTGGAGAAAGTAGAGCGTTAAAAGTAGAGAAGAGATGACGAGGACTGAATGACAAGGTATTAATAAGAGTGACAAAGTAGGCTTGTTTGGTAGCATGAAGGGAGGAATTGTATGTTAAGAAAGCAGATTTATATAGGTTGAATGCTTGGTGAGATTTGGTTTTACGCCACAATCGCTCCAGCACACGACTGTGGTTTAAGATTTCTGGTGTCGTCAGTCTGCCAAGGTTGTAACGGTCGGGGCCTGATGCTTCGTGTTAGAGGAGCAAGTGAGTCTAATGCGGATGAAAGCGAACTGTTGTAGACAGTAGTGGCTCGGGCAGGACAGGAGAGAGATTCTGTCATAGAATTGGTCAGTTGCAGAGTGGAAAGGAGCAGGGTTCATATATATATATATATATATATATATATATATATATATATATATATATATATATATATATATATATATGCGCACACACCCCCTCTTGGGTTATAAACGCCTAACTCTTGCCAAACACAAGTGTGTGACACACACACACACACACACACCAAACGTTTCCTGTAAGTCTTCACAAGGTTGGCACACACTGTTGCTGGTATGTTGGCCCATTCCTCCATACAGATCTCCTCTAGACCAGTGATGTTTTGGGGCTGTCGCTGGGCAACACGGACTTTCAACTCCCTCCAAAGGTTTTCTATGGGGTTGAGATCTGGAGACTGGCGAGGCCACTCCAGGACCTTGAAATGCTTCTTACGAAGCCACTCCTTCGTTGCCCCGGCGGTATGTTTGGGTTCATTGTCATGTTGGAAGACCCAGCCACGGTTCATCTTCAATGCCCTTGCTGATGGAAGGAGGTTTGCACTCAAAATCTCACGATACATGGCCCCATTCATTCTGTCCTGTACATGGATCAGTCGTCCTGGTCCCTTTGCGGAGAAACAGCCCCAATGCATGATGTTGCCACCCCCATGCTTCACAGTAGGTATGGTGTTCTTTGGATGCAACTCAGTATTCTCTCTCCTCCAAACACGACGAGTTGTGTTTCTACCAAACAGTTCTATTTTGGTTTCATCTGACCATATGACATTCTCCCAGTCCTCTTCTGGATCATCCAAATGCTCTCTAGCAAACTTCAGATGGGCCCGGACATGTACTGGCTTAAGCAGGGGGACACGTCTGGCACTGCAGGATCTGAGTCCCTGGCGGCGTAGTGTGTTACTGATGGTAGCCTTTGTTACGTTGGTCCCAGCTCTCTGCAGGTCATTCACTAGGTCCCCCCTTGTGGTCCTGGGATTTTTGCTCACCGTTCTTGTGATCATTTTGACCCCATGGGGTGAGATCTTGCGTGGAGCCCCAGATCGAGGGAGATTCAGTGGTCTTGTATGTCTTCCATTTTCTAATTATTGCTCCCACAGTTGATTTGTTCACACCAAGCTGCTTGCCTATTGCAGATTCAGTCTTCCCAGCCTGGTGCAGGTCTACAATTTTGTTTCTGGTGTCCTTCGACAGCTCTTTGGTCTTCACCATAGTGGAGTTTGGAGTGTGACTGTGAGGTTGTGGACAGGTGTCTTTATACTGATAACAAGTTCAAACAGGTGCCATTGATGCAGGTAATGAGTGCAGGACAGAGGAGCCTCTTAAAGAAGAAGGTACAGGTCTGTGAGAGCCAGAAATCTTGCTTGTTTGTAGGTGACCAAATACTTATTTTCCACCATAATTTGCAAATAAATTCTTTCCAAATCAGCCAATGTGAATGTCTGGATTTTTTTTCTCATTTTGTCTCTCATAGTTGAGGTCTACCTATGATGCCAATTACAGGCCTCTCTCATCTTTTTAAGTGGGAGAACTTGCACAATTTGGTGGATGACTAAATACTTTTGTGTGTGTGTGTGTGTGTGTGTGTACAGAAGTGAGTACACCCCTCACATTTATGTAGACATTTTATTATGTTTTCAGGTGACAACACTGAAGAAATGACTTTGCTACAGTTATAAAGTAGTGAGTGTACATCTTTTTTTTTTTTTTTTTTTTTTTTTTTTTTTTTTATTGCCAGCAGTTTAGACATTAATGGCTGTGTGTTGAGGGGAATGCAAATTTACACTGTTATACAGGCTGTACACTCACTACATTACATTGTAGCAAAGTGTCATTTCGTCACTGTTGTCACCTGAAAAGATATAATAAAATCTTTACAAAAAAGTGTGTGGTGTTTTTTTTTATATAGGCAGGGGGGTTATAAACCTCTTCCTCAAAAAAAAAAAAAAAAATTTATATATCTGTTACAATAAGTATTGAACACATCACTATTTTTCTCAGTAAATCTATTTCTAATGGTGCTATTGACATGAAATCTTCACCACATGTCAGTAACAACCCATGCAATCCATACATACAAAAAAACCAAAACAAATTAGTTCAGAATTTTTATGTTCTGTGTAATAAAATGGAATGACATAGGGTAAAAGTATTGAGCACATGAAGAGACACCAGCTGACATCAGTAATTAGAAAGCAATCCTGCTTCGTGTCAGTGCAAATTTTAATATGAGCTAGTTCAGTCTTAACTGGTGCCCTATAAAAAGGTGTCACAAGAGTTTCACAACACTATTGTTGCAAAATATACTGATGGCATTGGTTACAGATTGAATTCTAAATGTTCCAGGGAGCACTGTAGGGGCCATAATCCGGAAGTGTAAAGAACATATTTTCACCGTAAACTGGCCACGACCGGGTGCCCCTCACAAGATCTCTGACGGAGGCATGAAAAGAATTATCTAAAGAGTTTTCCAAGAGCCAAAGACCACTTTTTGGAGAGCTTCAGAAAGACCTGGAATTGGCAGGAACAATTGTTTCAAAGAAAACCATAAGTAATGCACTCAACCGCCATGGCCTGTATGCATGCTTACCGTGCAAAACTTCACTGCTGAAGAAAAAAAGCATGTCGAAGCTCGTTTAAAAGTTTGCTGCACAAAATTTTAGACAAGCCTGTGAAATACTGGGAAAAATATAGTCTGGACAGATGAGACCCAAATTGAACTCTTTGTATACCATAATACACATCATGTTTGGAGGTCAGATGGCACTGCACATCACCCCAAAAACACCAGGTGGGAACATCCTGGTGTGGGGGCTTTTTTATTTTTCTTTCTTCCAGCATTCGGCACTGGCAAACTTCATATCATTGAAGGAAGGATGAATGGAAAAATCTACCAAGACATTCTTGCTAAAAATCTGCTGCTGCCATCTACTAGGATGATGAAGATGAAACAAGGGTGGACCTTTCAGCGAGACAATGATCCCAAACGCAAAGCCAAGGAAACTATCAATTGGTTTCAAAGAGAGAGCTGCAAGAATGGCCCAGCCAATCACCTGATTTGAATCCAATAGAAAATCTATAGAGGGAACTAAAGGTCAGAGATTCATAGACGAGGCCCACAGAACTGTTAAGATTTGAAGACTGTGTGGAAGAATGGGCCAAAATCACACACGAGCAATGCATGCGACTAGTTTATATATACAGGAGGTGTCTTGAAGCTGTCATTACCAACAAAGGATTTTGTATGAAGTATTAAATATATTTCAGTTAGCATGTTCAATACTTTTATTTTATTTATTTTTTTTTCTCCTGTGTCATTCCGTTTTACTACACATAACTTAATTTCTGAACTTTTTATATTTGTTTTTTGTATGTATGGATTGCATGGGTTGTTACTGACATGGGGTGAAATTTTCATGTCAATAACGCCTATTTAGGCTCTATTTACTTGTTCAATACTTAGTGTATGTGTCTGTGTTCCATAGGGATGATTTCCCTTCATTTCCTGTCCCATAGCCTAACACTGGAAGTGAGAGAAAATCCCTCCAAAGTGTGTGTTGTGTTGTGTGTTTTTTTGTTTTTGGGAATCCTGAGGTGTCACCAGAATTTATTGGAAGATTTCTGAGGACAGTCCAAACATTTTTGGGGATCTTCATTTACTTTGGGCTATAATGGTAAACGGGACAATAGTATAAATTGTAGTGTCACTGATCCAGTTCATGAATGTGGATGAGTGTGACCTCAGCCAGTGCTGCTCCAGCCAGGCCTTCTGACATGTGTTGCCCACACAGAATCTGTGCTCAAGCCCCGGTGTGTGTGGGGGGTGGAACATATCAGAAGGCCTGGCTGGAGCTGCACGCTCAACAAAATGGAGAAGTGGAGTCTCCCTACTGGGAGCACAGACAGCTATACAAAACAAAAAAAACTGACAGCTGATCTCTCCACTCTTTCCAAAAAGAAAAACCCCAAAAACTTTTTAGTCACACTTTTTTACTTGGGGTCCTTCTGCGTTTTGCGTTAATGGACACAAATTGCACCACAAAGAATAGCATGCTATTTGAACAGGAATGCAATTCTTGTCCAAATCGCATGGGGTTTTCCCAACACTCCTGTGTAAACCCAGGCTTGTCATAGCCGGAGTTCATACAGGAGCAGTGCAGGAAACCTTCCTGCAGGCTTCCCATGCTGAGTGTCGGTGGTAGGAGAGGAAAGTGGTGGGAATTTGAAATCAAGCTGCTGACCATTAGTTGTCGTCTAGCCCAAACTGTCATCGCTTCAAAGAGGAAAGATGGCGTAACATTTTGTTTTTGCTCTGTGTGCCCGTTCAGGAAAAAAAAAAACTGGGTTAGAACTAACCTCCCTCCATCCAAAATTGGGGGTGGGGAGTGTTCGCCTTTAGTTGTCCTTTTTTTTTAATGTAGGCGTTGTACCCCCTTCTTTTCCCCCCCCCAATGTTTTAACTAGGTATTCGTATAGGTATATTCCCTGTGCTGTTTGCTTTACCTTGAGATAATGAGCTCACATGTTGTACCTACTGTCATGGCTGATTTGATTCTTCCAATGTTCATGTATTGCTGCAACTACCCTGTCCCTCTGCACCAAAGGGACAGGACGATGTCCTGTTCTGGGTCACAGAGTCCAGGGTGTGCCTAGCCATCACCTCCATGTTGCATTACCAGGGGGGCAGAAAGGGAGGGGATAGTCTGGCACTCTTGACGAGAGCCTGTGAAAGACCGTTTAGTTCTATTAATGCCTGCTACACCAGAAGATTGTGGGGGTAGGGGGCATGGATGGGGGAGGATTTCAATTAAGAGGCATCAGCACAAGGACATATCCTACCGATTTGCAAGTTTTGTCCCCTGCCCTAATTTTTCTGTTTATTTTGATTAAACTTTAACATACCCTTTTTTTAACAAATTGTATTTCTACAGGATAAAAAAGAAACCACAAAGGAAGAAATATGGACTACTTTCTGACTATGATGAAAACATGGAGATGGGATCCATGGATAGTGATGAAGAGAAAATCTTTGAATCCCGAAATATAAGAAGGTAAGCACTAGCAGTCTTCAAGAGTTGGATAAAGTCACTTTTTTTTTTTTTTTTTTTTTTTTTAATTTACCCTATTTTTATTTTTTTTTTTTTCTTCTGTTCACAGGTGATTAGTGACAGCTTTGTGCCTCATGGTCTACTAATGATTCTAAAGCCCAGCCTTCTGTCCTTGTGATGGCACAGGCTGATTCCTGCAAGGTCTGTGTTTTGAGGGGACATGAGTATTTGTGACCTGCATTGTACTAATTTTAAGAGTGCCACCTCTTGGGAGGAAAAAAGCTAATTTAAAAAAAATATACATAAAGGGCACTTATGGTTCTCTCACATTGCACAAAACAAATTCCATTTACACAACATGGACTCTTGCTGATTTCTTTTTAACTTGATCTTGCATCATTTTGCCAAGGAGTCCTGCAAGAAACTATTAAAATGCATTTTGTTGTAGTAGCCTGTGCAGGATATTTTGTAACAAACTTTATTTTTTCAGTGCAACCTTTTTATATAATATGTGAATAAAACATTCTGTTCTCAAACTTCCAGTCTTGTCAGGTGATTTTTTTTTTTTTTTTTTTTTTTTTTTTTTTTCTTGCCTGCATATTGGATATAATACGTAATTCACATCTGCATTTTATATATACATTTTTGTTTGTTTTTTTTTTTTTTTTTTTTCATTAAACATTTTAGGTGTTTTTTGTTTTTCTCTATCATTTTGCTAATTCAGGTTAGGAAAAGTCATCTAGGCAAACTGACATGACCTTCAATTGTTTTATCTGGTCAGTGAAGGGAAGGCCATGATAACCTGTTACATAATTGGATAAAGTATGTTCTTTAAATTGGGGCATGTGATGTGTTTGGGAACCTTGGCTGTAATGGTCATTGAAGAGAAACTGGTAGTTAGAATGAACAGTCAATGGCCAAGTGATATGCTGTATCTTCATAATTGACATGCCACACATTTTGGGATCTCAATATGCCTCTTCTATAAGGATAATAAGCTTAAAAAAAAAAAAAAAAAAACCTATGCCAAAGAGGTCTGAAAATGTTCAAAAGAATAGCAGTCCAACATCACTAACCTGATCAATCACTGTTTTTGGTATAAAATTATATTTTTACATGGCAAATAATTTACTAGTAGGTGTAGTAGAGTAATCAAAAACAAACAGACCCAACCGTCATGATGTGCATGCTGCTGATTCTGTGTAATTGAATCATTTAATTGAGAGGGGCGCATTGAAAATATTAGCAGTGTGGAGTTCAATTAGTAAGGCCATTCAGACTGTAAATAGGTGTCAACAGGTGGCCCTTATTAAAGTGTTACTAAACCCACAACTGTAAAGCCAGTCTGTATATGCAGTAAAACATGCTTGTTATACTCACTGTGGAACCTAAGGTGTTAATAATCTGCATTGTGTAAAAATGATGTTTGAACCTTTCTTCTCTGCCCTTCCTCTTGTTCAAATGTCCACCTGATTAGACAGACTGAACCCATAGTCACATGCTCAGTTTAGTGTGTATTGCTAGAGAGGGTTTTTTTTTTTTTCTTCTTGTGAGTGCATGTGATCAGCACAGGGCCAATCAGCACTATTAGATATGTGTATCACCTAACCCCAAAACCCCCTCAAAAAGTCACGCCTTCTCCCCAGAAAGCAACACAATATTACAACCTTTTTGAAATTATATAAACAAATTCAAACAGATGAATATAATCATAAATTACAAAAATTGGAAAAAATCATAAAATTCAAAAATACAAAAATAAAAAGTAATTAAAAAAAGTCCAGCATAAAGTGTCCCAAAATGTCCCAATGTAAACACAAATAGTGCCAAACAGAAATGGTGTCCCAAAATTGTCCAAATCTCCAAATTTTATCCAGTCAGAAGAAATTCCCTTTCATCCCGCAATACCTCGAAAAAAAAACAAATTCAGAAATCTAGTGCATTACCTTTATAAATAATATATATATATATATATATATATATATATTCTCTTCGTGCAAAAATAAAAACCAAAAACACAAAAAAGTGTGCAAACACTATATATGTGTATTTTTCCGTGCACATGTGAATGAACTGTGACCACTCAGTGAACACTGCAACAGTGTGTATCCACCAGCACCAATAGTATTGGACACTATTACCCTCTGTATCCTTATACCAACATCCACATGAGATCTTCTGAATGCTCCAATGAAATTATTCCAAGGTCCTCAAAAAGACAAGAAGGGTCTCAAGGATCATATTCAAAGTGTAAAACAAGATTTAATGAGAACTTACATTAAAATTTTCTTAATTCGGCTTCCAACATGCTTCCTGTGTGAGTCCTATCAAACAGATGCAAAATGCCATGTGTTGATAACCCACAAAATGGCCGCGGCGACACTTCCGGTCTGCGTGCGTGCGTCACTACGTCACACCCTTAACGCAATCAGCACTGTCCATACAGAGGGTCAGGGGTTTTGTATCTTCCTAGAGCAGAATAAGAACTCCTACAAGCTTTAATTTACCTAGTGCTCTGCTGACGTCACAAGACTGCTCTAACTGCTGATGGGAAAAGGTATTTAGCAGTTTGTTTACTAAACTAATTACATTTCCGTGTACTGTGAGAGACCAGATAAAGTGTTACTAAACCGAGGACCCTGAACTCACTATAAGGACGAAGGCAGCAGATGTTGTGCATGCTATGTAAAGTCCATTTCTCTCTGAAAATCTGAGTAAATATGGGTCCTTCCAGACATTGTTCAGAAGAACAGCATACTTTGATTAAAAAGTTGATTGGAGAGGGGAAAACATATAAAGAAGTGCAGAAAATGATAGGCTGCTCAGCTAAAATGATTATAAATGCTTTCAAATGGCAATTAAAACCAGAAAGACGTTGACGAAAATGCAAAACTATTCTTCAAATTAATTAAACAATGGCAAAGACTCATCCAATGATCAGCTCCAGGGTAATCAAAGAAGGTCTAAAGTTAGGCAAGAAGCCCCCGCAAAGTCCCACTGCTGAAAAAAAAAAAAAAGATGTGCTGAAGAGGTTATAATTTGCCAAAGAACACATTGACTGGCCTAAAGAGAAATGGCGCAACATTTTGTGGATTGATGAAAGCAAGATTATTCTTTTTTGGGTCTAGGGGCTGCAGCCAGTTTGTCAGATTGCCCCCCCAAACATTGAATTCAAGCCATAGTACACTGTGAAGACAGTGAAGCATGGTTGCGCAAGCATCATGATATGGGGATGTTTCTCATACTACAGTGTTGGGCCTATTTATCGCATATCAGGGATCATGGATCAGTTTGCATAAATCAAAATACTTGAAGAGGTCATGCTGCCTTATGCTGAAGAGGAAATGCCCTTGAAATGGGTGTTCCAACAAGACAATGACCCCAAACACCTCAGTAAGCAAGCAGCATCTTGGTTCCAGAACAAGAAGATTAATGTTATGGAGTGGCTAGCCCAATCCCCGGATCTTAATCCAAATGTGGGGTGACCTCACTAATGCTGTTTCTGAGGTAAAACTAAGAAATGCGGAGGAATTGTGGAATGTAGTGCAATCGTCCTGGGCTGGAATATCTGCTCACAGGTGCCAGAAGTTGGTTGACTCCATGCAACACCGATGTGAAGAAGTTCTCAAACTGTGGTTATTCAACTAAATCTTCATTGATTCACAGGAAAGCTAAATCCTACAAGCATTTTTCAGTTTATACAGTAAATGTTTGAGTTTGTAAAGAAAAATGCAGACAGTAGTTTAACAGCCTAATTTTGCTTTTTCTTCACTTTCTGTAAAGTCATAACAAATTTGAAACCTTTTTCTTCATGTTTTTGATTTGGAATAGACTGTGCAGTGTTTCCAGTGCATTTGTGAGTATGGAAATAAAAGCTATGCTATGGATTTTGAGTTTTACTCGCCTCTTCCGTCCTTCCGTGTGGGTTTTTTTTTAACTGCTTGAGCCCCAGCCACTGCATGAAAACGTTTGCAGGGTGTCAGCAGCGGGTCTCAACCGCCGGGTCACGGCCCGTCATTACTGCCGTTTCCCTGCGATTAGCGGTAATCGCTGACAGAGAGCAGGGCTGCATTGTTTACACACAGCCCTGCTCTCTGTCAGTTGCCTGTCAGCTCCTGACAAGCTGAAGAGGGAGAGAAGAGTTTCCCTCTCCCAATCAGCCTGTCCCCGTCCAGCACACAACCCGCCCCCTAGTAAAACACTCCCCTCACACATTTAACCCTAAAAAAATGTTAACCTCTTCCTCCCCAGTGCCATTAGTACAGTGTCAGTGGGTTTTTTGTTTCAATGATCACTGTATTGGTGTCACTGGGGATGTCATTGAACCCAAGTCAGTTATCCCCCCCCCCCCCAGTGTCAAAATGTCCGCCGCAGTCCTGCCCTAAGTCGCTGATCGCCGCCATTATTAGTATAAAAAAAAATTAAAAATCTCAGTATCTTTCCCGCCATTTGTAAATGCTATAACTTTCATGTAAACCAATTAATTTACACGTATTGGGATTTTTTTTTTTTACCAGAGACATGTCGCAGAATGCATTTTGGATGACGTTTTGTGACAAAATTTGATTATTTTTTTTTTTTTTTTTTTAATTTTTTACTGGACGTGTTTCATAGCAAAAAGTCCAAAATATATATTTTTTTTTTCTCAAAATTGTCAGGGTTTTTTTTTTTTTTTTTTTTTTTTATAGCGCAAAAAATTAACGCACAGGCGCTCAAATACCACCGACGAAAAGAAACCTCAATTTGTGGGGGGGAAAAAAGGATGTAAATTTAATTTGGGTGCAGTGTTGCATGACCGCGCAATTGTCAGGTAAAGTAACGCAGCGCCGTAACACAAATCTCTTCTGTAACCGCTTCCTGACCACCCTACAGCAGAAATACTGCTACAGGGCGGCATGGGCATGCAAAATCACATATATAATATACAGTTGTGTTCAAAATAATAGCAGTGTGTTGAAAAAAGTGAATAAAGCTCAAAATCCTTCTAATAGCTTTTATTTCCATACA